GAGGTGTGATCAGGCGATTCTTTTCTCCCATCAACATCAGAAACTAAAGATTTAATTTTGGGCAAAGTAAACCATAAAAAATAGATGTGGGACAGCAGGCTAAATGAAGGTGATGACAAGAAATGAAAATGAGAGTTATGTTCCAAGAAACCAAATTGCATAGTAGTTAAGACTGTAGAATCCAGAGGATTCCTCAGTTCAATTTCAGCTTTGTCAATTAGCAGACATGCCTTACCTTGGGCAAGCTGCTTAAAACCTCTGTACATCAGTTTCCTCATCTATAAAATGATGATAATAATAGATATGAAGCCATAGTTCATATGAGGATCAAATGAGTTAAAGCATCTTAGAGTGTTGTGTGGCTCATAGTAACCAACATTAGCTCCTCCTCCTGCTTCTACTATTGTAGCAGGGAGGAGGGTCAGAAGACAACAGACTAGGCCTGAGTCCTAAGAAAATAGCAGGGAGGTAGGGATGTCATAGCAGAGATAAAACCGAGAAATCTGAACATGAGGAAGGTCATATAGCACTGGAGAGGGGAAAAAATCATGTAGCACTAGGGTAAAGTAGCCTACAAAATTAAATACAGCCATATATGGATTGGACCTTGCTTTTTGCTTCTGTAACCTGCTTGCAAGGGTATATATGGTGAGACCCTTTGTTCTTGGGGCTCCGCCTTTGGACACGAGTCCACTGAGTCTGCGCTGGCACAAAAAAACGTTGCTTCCTGCTAAATTGCCTCAGTGTCTCGTATCTCAGCTAGCAACTTCCTGCAACACTATGACTACTCAGGCCAGTGTGTGCAACAAGGGCAAGGCATGCATATGCACACACAATCACATATACCTCTCAGCTCTCAGAATGATGGCAGTAGTAGGAAATTCATGGGGATGCAACTTGAAGGACTACTGTATATCAAGAGAAACTGAACCACTGCAGAGAAAGATGCCTGAATGCTAACATTTAGTGGTCCCCAACAAAACAGCTGCCTTTCGCAGAGATGATTCAACAAAAAAGTCTCCCAGCTGAAACACCTCCCCCCCCCATACATACAGATAGTGATACCAAACAACATTAGAGTCTTTTGTTTTAAATCTGAGTAAATACTCAAGGATCATTAAACATGTAAAGGCCTCAAGTAAGCAGAGTGGAGTGGCTCAGGCCAGAGCAGCCCCAGCAAAAGCTTGCAAGACTTCATCTCAACCAATAAAAGCTGGGTGTGGTGGCACAAATCTGTCACCCCAAATACACAGGAGACATAAATAGTATTATGGTTCAGGCTGGCCTGGGCATAAAAGTGAGACCCTATTTAAAAACAACTCAAGCAAAAAGGGCTGGGGGGGGTGGCTCAAGTGGTACAGCACCTGCCTAGCAAATGCAAGACACTGAGTTCAAATCCCAATGTTACATAAATTAATAAATAATAAATAATAATGGCCTCAAGAATGAAAACTGGGGAGAGATTCAAATATAATCATCCCGATACATACTTACATATATCTCTAAAAAAGAAGCCTCAAAAAAAAGCAGATCTAATGACGGAGAAGAAAACTTGTTTAAAGCCATAATTTGTATCCTTACAAAAGTACATGAAAACAGTGTTCATGAAATAATAACTAGGACAGAGGATGAGATCAAGCTGTTAAGACATAAAAAAAAAACCAAAAACAAAACATAGCTCCCCCAGAAAACTAATTAGAAAGCTTTGAAGAATAGAGAAAAAACCTCTCGGAAAGTCAAAAAAGTAAAATTTTTAAAAATCACAAATTTATCTTAAGAGATGCAACATCAGTCTAATAAGTTACAGAAGACAGAGAGAATCCAGGGTGCAGGTGGCAAGCAATTATCAAAACATAAAGAAAAAAGCAAACACAAAAATCAGTTTTAAGAATATGTCCTAGATGCAAGTCCTTCGATAGCTCAGTTGGTAGAGCGGAGGACTGTAGTGGACAAAGAATATGTCCTAGAGCCAGGCGCCAACAATTCACACCTATAATCCTAGCTACGTAAGAGACAGAGATCAAGAGGATTGGGGTTCGAAGTCAGCCAGGGGAAATAGTTTGTAAGACCCTCTCTTGAATTACTCAACACTTTAAAAAAAGGGCTGGTGGAGTGGCTCAAGTGGTAGCAAGCTTGAGGCCGAGTCAAACCCCAGTAGCAAATATGTATATATGTTTGTCACGGGCTAAAGGACATGGTCTCCTCCTCCTATCACATTAAGAGAAAAAAGCCATTCACTGAGGCCCATCATCATGAAACTTCAGAATATCTAGGGCAAAGAGCACATGCAAAAACTTTCAGATTTTTTTTTAAAGGTCACCACATAAAGGACTTGAAGTAATAACCAAATTTACAAAATCCTCACAATACATCAAACACTAAATTCTTTTTATATAGTAACTCATTTAATAAACCTTACAAAAACTCCTCTAGGAGGAAAGTACTATTTATAAATCAATTTCACAAATAAAAACTATAATACTTAAGATCGTAACAATACTGTGAGTAACAATACTGAATGATAGAAACAATGGAAAAATGTCTTCAAATTTTGGAAGGAGCCAACCTAGAAATCTATACCCAGCCAAACTATCAATCACAAGTGAAGGCAGAATTAAGACAGTTTTTGTAATACCGTTGTGTGTGTGTGTTATTGGGATTTGAACTCTGGACCTCATACTTCCTAGGCAGGCACTCTACCACTTGAGCCACTCTGCCAGCCCTGCAATATATAGTCTTAAAATTTATGACTTTCACATTCTTTCTTAGAAAGATACTGAAGATTATGATCCAACAAAAAAAGAATAGAATAAGAAAGACAAAAACATGAGATCCAAAAACAGATCTGGCAGAAGTAAGGAGCAAAGGGATTCCAAAGAAGACGATGATAAAAGGAAACTCAGAACATCAGTTGGGCAGCAGGCCACTGAGCAAACAATCCATACAGCAGCTGTAGGACAAAATTCCCCAGATGGAAGTCTCCAAGGAAAAGAAATCAGAACAGATAAGCTATCTAATTAGTCTAAATGTGTGAAACTGCACTGAAGATTTAGGAAGGCTTTGCAATAAAGAAACACAGGGCAATTCTTATCATAAGGAGGCAAAAGCTGAACAATAAAGGAAATGTATATATGAATTATATCCCCTACTTGTCTCATCTGGAACACTACTCCCATAGTTTAAATAATATAAACACTGAATACTGAGTGAAACATTATTGTAATATTGCAATATTGGGATGATTAGGTCATGGGCCCAAAGCTAGACTGAGTGACCAAGAAAAAGAGAATTAAACTCCACTGACCGAATGAGAATGAAGTCAAAGTCCTAAACTTAATTCATCAAAAAGATAATAAAGTGAGCAGCCAGGACAAGGGATGGGGGCAGGGAGGCAGGAGTCAGAACACTGCTATTTTTTATTAGTAGTATTTATCCATGTGAAAGTATTAACATGGTAAAAATGAAACTCACACTACTGAGCTTTGCTGAAAGGCAGTATGTCTTTAGCAGACATTACCATGCATTACGGGAAAAATGAAGCAATCATTGAATGCAGCACTGAACTCTATGCATCCTGAGCATTCACAGTTTTTCCTCAAGGGCAGTCTCCTTGGAATGGTATTCCCAAAGATACCAAGGGTCTACTGTATAGCCAATGCTGTCAAGTCTCAGTTTTTTACATTGGTGAATAAATTCACTGAACAGAGTATCAATTTTTATGTTGACACTTGATATTTTGACATTTCTATTTAAATACAACCATCTTCTAATAGTCCTGGGAATACAACCCAGACCAAAAAAACATCCCACAAGCATCTCTTACTATTTTTTCATGAGTATGTCTGGCTCCACCTGCTCATCCAGCTTTGCCTTCCACTACCCTCCAACATTTCATCAAACTCTTCAGCATCCACAGCATTTGCCAGAGCCATTCCTAACTCTTGTTTCTCTGTTCATAATAGTGCCACTTCCCTTCACTTTTTTGAAACAGTGTCTTATGGAAGGAAAACACATCGACATGAATCCAAATCTCAGCTCTGCCATCATCTACTCTAAAACCTTGGGCACTTGCATAACATCTCTGAGCCCAAGATTCTCCATCTATATAATAGGGTAATAATATAAAGTTGCAGAGTTATTATGAGGGTAAGAAAAAATAATGGACATAAAACACCTGGACAATTGTGGGCATATGATACATGACAATTACCATCAGCAAGAGCAATGTCACATCCACATGAATGATATCTACATCTCAGATGCCCAAGTCAAATAGCGCCAAAGCCCAGCAGTGTCTAGCCTAATATGGGCTCTCAAATGTTTAAGGAACCAAAATGAGTTCAAAGTGCAGCTCATCCTCTGACTCCTCTAGGAAGCTTCTCTGACCACCCTGATCCATGGCACATCATCCCCTGATCTACAATGGTGCTCAGTAGATCAGCATAGCACAATAGCCACATCTTATTAAAAAAAGGCAGTGAAGTTAACAATAGCTATGTTCAAACAACTTATAAACATGTTTTTTAAATGTGATGTTTACTTCATTCATATATTTGTTATCCAACTCTCGCCATGAAGATCCTTTTATTTACATTTTACCATCCAGAAAATTTCACTATGTAGCCCAAGCTGGTCTTGAACCCTCAAGTTTCCTGCCTCAGTCTCCTGAATAACTTAATAAAGCTAGCAGATAAAAATGAAACATCCACCAAACTCTAATAAATATATTTTATTAGTTTAAATTTCTTTCTAGGATATAAATTAGGTAAGTTTCCATTATTCCTTTCACTAAATACAATTAAGTTTATCTGCAAAAAGTACAGGAAAGTCCAAGGAAAGGATACTAAGGGAGGTGGGGAAGAGGGTTAAAACACACTACATGTGTAATGTTCGAAGACAGCATAAATGAAACCCACCAAACACTATAAAAAATGGGGAAGAAGAGAAAGGAATGAGAATAAAAGTGACCAGGCAAAAACGAAAACAAAAGCACAGCTTACCTCACTATTATGGCCCCGAAGGTTGAAGTTTATCCTCTGCGGAGTACTCCTGTCTCTGCGGCAGTGGCTGGAGGTGAAAGTCACCCCCACCACACCTCGTCCATTGCCTGTTGCCAACCAGCCTTCCTCATAGTAGCGCCTCCTGCACACAGGCTTCTCCTTCTCGCTCTTGGGAACACGCCCCTTCCAGGACAGGCAGAGGATGTTGGAGTCGCTGCAAAGCACAGGCCCATGTTCCACTGCTGCATACATACTTTTTTCAATAAATTACTTTACTTAAAAAGTAATGCTTAATACCAAAAACTTTGAACCAATTTCTTTCATTGGTTTATTTATTTTATTTTTGTGGTTATCTTGCGTTGCTTCTGTCCCCTATTTAATTAAGACTGACCTGGAACCAATTAGAAGGTCAGTATTTTATAAAGATCCACCAAATGCATAGTGAAAAAATTCCTCTATAAAAGATGATGGCAGTCTGCTAAGAAAAGGTAATGCCTAAAAAAACATGGGGTCCATTTTTATTTTCAAGTCCTTAGAAGAGGAAAGGAATGTGCTGATCCTTTGGAGAACGAGCATCATCAATAAGTGGTGATCAAGACACAGAATCTCTTCTGTTTTACTTGACTTGGTTATTCTCATTCAGCCTGAGATTCCAGTTTTGTGTAATGTGATTCCAGAGACAAAGGGTTGCAAACACATAGATTTCAAGTAACTTAAGGCTTTAAGAATCCCTCTAGCTGGAATTTTCTTTTCATTCTGAAGTTCAGGTGTAGACAGAGAACACACAGGATCATTTTCTGAAGTCATCCTCTGCCATGTTTTCTGAGCTAGACAAATTGCTGCTGCTGAAGCTGAAAAAGATTGCATAAAGGGAAAAAAGGCACACACACCATGCAAAACAGACCACAGTTTGTGCAGACAGAAGTCCAAATTTTAGAAGAAAAACTTTCCTCCACTGATCAAAACCAAAAACTTCCTGCCTCAAAGCTGGGACCTGTGGACCCAGGGAATGCAAGGCTCCCTAGGATGACTCTTCCACTGGCCAGCGCACCCTTCCATGCCATAGAGCTAGATAGTAAGCCGCTTCTCTTGGCAGAGACAGAGGCTAAAGCTATTAAAGTGAACCAAATATTTGCCTTGGATGAGTCCTACTTCCTCTTCCTCACAAAGAGTCATGCTGCAGGATTTTCTCAACTCCTTTCTTACTTCCTAGTTACTTCTCCACTTTGCTTCTCCTAAAAAGCAAGTATTTTTCTATTTTAATGAAAAAAAGTAATTTCAGAATTAAGTCCATCAAGTAATCTTCCTCTTACATGCAAATCTTCTTAGACTCAAGAGGGCAGACAATCTCTTCATCACACACCCAGGCCAGATGAGAGTTTCCTACACCATACAGTCTCCCTAGAGTGCACTGGGCTTTGATGATGAGCGCCTTCCTGGTCACATTTAGGGCCTGTTTCCACACCTTTAGTCCAAGGAAATGGAAGCTTTGCTTGGGTTTTCCTGGATATTTATTTTGTAATTATCGATTCCAATTGCTATTTTAAGATAATATCCTATAGATGCAGAAAAGGAAAAGGGAAAAGATAAGTTAAAATTCTTCAAATATAGTTAACTGATAAAGGCAAAGGAATCAGTTCACTGTTCAGACTTGTCCCATCACACTTGAACTTGCTTTTCTCCAGCCACAACCACAGTAAAAGTTATTTTTCAGTCCAGAATCTTAAAGTCTGTCCAAATCACCAAACCCAACAAAAAATAAAGTGCAAAAAACACTTCATGACCCCACCTACAAGATCTGAATTCACATTTCTCCCTTGGTCACTTTCTCCCTTAGTTCTTTCTTTAAACTGGAGAGGTATTTTGAGGCTTAAACTGAAATTTTTTTTTTCTTCTTTTTGCAAACTTTCTTTACCTATGAACACCATATGGAAAACTGGCCATTAATGATATATTTTTCTCCCTGAGCTCCTGAGCCCAGTGGTGTCAAGTTGCTCCATTTGATTCTTAAATCAATTTTCATCAGTTATAAACTCTCAGATGTGCACAAGGATAAGCCTGTCTTCTTGTGTAAATGTGCATGTATAGAGAGAAGATTTTTAAATATACACACTCTTCAACTGGTACTTGAAGCATTTGCTTTCCCAGTTACTTGAGGAACCATCAGATAATCATGTTGAAGACCCTGGAGTCTTACAGATCTGTAAAACAAAAAAGAATATAGAACAAAAAACCTTTAAGATACTGAAGAATAAAGGTCTAACAAAATAATTGCTATAATTACATTGGAGACCCATCTTTAAGATGACATCTATCAAATGGAGCACTGATTACAGTGACTGCTAAAATTCAGGTGATAAAAGGATACATCCCTTTTATGTATGAGAAAACATACAAAGTGAGGAATCTGACTGCCACGTACCGTTTCATTAACTTGTCAGTGACTGGGTAATCTGAATGAAATCACTGCTCTACTCTTCTGCACTGCACTGTCCTTTCTAAGACCCTGGATCTGAATGTGTGACTTTACCCCATAGAGGTTAAAGGCATTGTTTAAGCAGACATATTCAAAAAGGAGACTGAAGGTAACTGGAAGTTACCTAAAATGATTTTTCACTATCAGTATTTCCTAAAGACATGAAGCAGCAAGGGAGTTTTCTAAAAGTCCTCTGTCCCTGACACAGAGCAAAGCACAGTTGTTTTCTCAGCTTTTAAGTTGTTGACTAACAATAAAATCCTAGAGAATCTATCCCTAGCAAATTCATCTTACTTTCTTCCCTTATCTCTTGAAGTGCAAGCCCACATCACATCCTCTGAAGAGGCTGCAAGACTGTTTCCAAAACCTCCCCACCCCACCCCATTCCAGGAGGCCTCAGAGTGACCTTTCTGATATGCAGCAGTTAATTCCTCCATACACTGAAAAAAACAGGGCAAAGCCAGGGTGTCTGCATTTCTATCAAGTTCCCAAGAAATGCTAATTCTACTAGTCAGAGGACCAGTTTCACTTCAGAATGCTCTTAATCCAGCAGTTAAAACAAACAAACAAAAAAATATTTGAGACGCGGTCTTGCTATGTTGGCCAGGCTGGCCTTGAATTCACAATCTTTCTGCCTCAGCCTTGGGGATTACAGTTTCACACTACAGCACCTGGCAGCAGTAAAAATCATTCATTTGATTAAACATGGATCTTTTTTTACTATTGTTAGGGTGAACAAAAAGAAGCCACCTTAGGATGCCCCCTCCATCCTTGCAGGCAGCTTACTGACACCCCACCACCCACCTTAACAACCACATCTAGCCACAAGGAAATGATAAGCTGCCACCTTGCCAAAGGGTCCAGAGCTGAGCAATTTACCTACCTAATTACCACTTATCTCCTCTATCTCCCTGAGCAACGTGCAACTGATCTACCTAGTTACTACTTATCACCTGTAGCTTTCCTAGCAATGGTTTACTACACTCTGGAATAATTTTCCCACCCAGTGAAGTTTCCCCTCCACACAGCTGCCCTATTATCTATTCCAAATCTATAAGCAGCTGTGGGACTCCAGCTCTCTTACTGGGGACCCCTCCGCAGAGTTCCTTCCCTGTCCTGGTGTTTGAGCCATCTCTCTGCTTCTTTCATGCCTCTTTCATTCTAACAATTATTCCATGTTCCAAAATTGTAAATGCATACAGAGAAACTTTAATGACTACAGGACTTGGAAATCCTGAGGAAAACCACTTTCGCTACAGTTCAAGTTACAAATTGAACTAGTTGCTTTTCTCAGGGTGTGCCACATTTACTAGAAAGAATGAATGACAAAGTAGCTACTTCAATTTGGATATTTGGCAGACATTTTCTTGAACATGAACAAAGTGAGCCTGTTACTTTGACAGTAGTTGTTGCCAATGATAAAAGCAGAGCTTTCAAATTAAAATTAGATCTTTGAAAAGCCAGCATCTGTCACTAAGAGCTTGCTACCTCCTCAGGGCTTAGACATTCCTCGTGCAACTAGTGGTGATTATAATTTTTTTATTTTGTATTTAATATTTCATTGTGTGCTCTTATGGTTTGGATATGATTTGTCCCCCAAAGGTTTGTGTACTGAAAGCTTGGTCCCCAGTGTGGCAGTACTAAAAAGTGGTGAGTGGAGAGAGTCCAGTGGGAGGTGACTGAGTCCTGCAAACACTATTCATGCTGATCTCATGCACTGGGATGGGTCTCACAGGAAAGAATGAGCTCCAAGACAGGTTACTGTAAAACACTGAGCATGGCCCCTCCCTGGCCATATAATCTTTCACACAAACTTCTGCAATGTGACACCATCCTCCATGTTATGACATACCCAGAAGTCCTTCTGGGGCTGCCCAATCTTCTACTTCCAGCCTCCAAAACTGTCAGCTAAATAAATCTTTTTACTTTCTCAAGTATTTTATCATAGCAACACAAAATGCTATGTTCATTTGCATTTAATACCTATTTGTGTAAAAAATTCATTGACATATTTCAAATTCTATATTGTGACTAGCCTTTAAGGAACTACAGTTTATTGGATAGAGATGTGGCTCAAGAAGTCAATGCCTGCCTAGCAAACACAAAGTCTTGAGTTCAAATCCTAGTACCATCAAAAAAAGAAAATGATATTTGAGTTTTGTGTAATCAGAGAAAAATATGCACAACTATTTGGAAAAATAGTAAAACATTTCTTTCTTTTCCAATTACAAATCTGTGCAAGGTTGAATTTTCTTCACATGCTTGAAAAAAAAAACCACATATTGCAACAGATGAAATACAGAAGCAAATATGAGAATCTAGGCATCTTTTAGTAATCCAGACAGCCAGACAGTAGACATATGGCTACAATGTAAAATACACTTTTAGTAAATTTTGATTTATTAATAAAATAAAATTAAGATAAATTACTAGGTAAATATTTCTTATTCTTACTTTCTTTCTTTTTTTTTTTTTTTTTTTACTGGGGCTTGAACTCAGCACCGACATCTTGAGCCACTCACTCCTCCAGTCCGTTTTTTGTGATAGGTTTTTTCGAGATAGGGTCTCATGAACTATTTGCCCATGGCTGGCTTTGAACTACAATCCTCCTGATCTCTGCCTCCCAGGTAGCTAAGATTACAGGCATGAGCCACCAGCACCTGGTCTTCTATTTCTTACTAATTTCTTATTTCTAAGTAAATAAATACTTAATATTAAGTAAACAAATCCTACTTTGTATATTTTTATTTATTAAATAAATTTGTTTATTTACAACTCAGTCACTACCTAGTCTTGCCTAAACATTGTAAAACTCCAACTGAAAGGACATGAGAACAAAATCTCCAACAAAAAACATAGCTTCAGATGTTAATTCCAATGGAGAAACACAAGTAATATGAAAAAAAAAAAAGGCAACATCTCTTTTCCAAAAGTGAATGACTCCACAATAAAGGACTTGAATAATAACAGATGAAATCTCAAACAATGAACTCAAATAAACAACACTAAGAATGGCCAATGAAATTAAAGACATATATAAACATCTGAATGAATTCAAAGAGGATACAAATAAGCAGCTGAGTGAGCTAAAAGAGAATTCAAATGCGCAGCTGCATGAAATAAGGAAGACAATGCAGGCAGTGAAAGAGAATTCAAAAGCTGCAGAAATACTGAAAAAAAAAAATCAAACAAATTCTGTAAGTGAAAAGCTGAATAATCCAAATTAAAAACTCAGTTGAAAGTCTTGCTAAAAGAATGGAACAGGGTGAAAATACACTATTAGGGACAGATGATAAAGTTGAGGAATCAGATGAACTGGACAAAGACAAAGAAAAAATTACTAAGAAAATAAGAACAGAATATGCAAGATCTCTGAGACATCATTAAAAGACCAAACCTAGAATCATAGAAGAATATAAGCTAAAGGCATAGATAAAATACTCAATAAAATAATAGCAGAAAACTTTCCCAGTCTTGAGATAGAGTGGATCATCCAGGTACAGGAGGCTTTGAAAACACCAAACAAAACAGGAAAGATCAGAAAAGAAATACCACCAGACATATTACAGTAAAAACACAAAATATACAGATCAAAAAAACAATACTGAAAGAGACAAGCAACAATTAAAAGCAAACTCATCATAGTAACAGCAGACTTTTCAACAGAAACTGTAAAAGCAATGAAGGCATGGAATGATATATTACAAGCCCTGAAAGAAAACTGTCAGGCTAGATTACTCTATCCATCAAAACTATCCTTCAGAATTGAAGGAGAAATAAAATCCTTCATTAAAAAAAAAAAAAAAACCCTGCAGGAATTCATGAACACTAAACCAGAATTGCAGAAGATACTTAAATGAATCCTACACAAAGAAGAGGAAGATAAACACAACCAGGAAAATAAATTCCCAGTTAGACAAACAGATTAACAAATGAGTATTAGGGAAAAGGCAAACATCACAAAACAACAAAAAAATACATACATACCTTTCAATAATAACAATGATTAGCTAATGGTTTCAATCCTTCAATCAAAAGACATAGAATGGTAGGTTGAGGTAAAAAACAAGAACAACCATTTCTTGCCTACAAGAAACACATCTCATTGACAAGATAGACATTGGCTTGGGGTGAACAGATGAAAAAAAAGATTTTCCAAGCAAATGGATTCCAAAGTCAAACAAGAGTAGCTATACTCAGACAAACAGACTTCAAACCAAGATTAGTCAGAAGAGACAAAGAAGCCACTTCATATAAATAGAGCGAAAATCCATGAAGAGGATTCAACAATTTGTAACCAATATGTACCAACTGAGGTACACTCAACTTCATACAACAAATTACTGGACATACAAGCACACCTAGACACAACATAATAGTAGTCAGAAACTTAAAAACTCACCCTGACCATTACATAGATCATCCAGACAAAAAATTAACAAAGAAACTTCAAAATTAAATGAATACTATATACCAAATGGACTTAACAGACATCTATAGAAATATTTCATCCAGCAACTAAACAATACACATTCTTCTCAGCAGCCTATGAAACTATCTACAAAATAAATATTTTAGGAAATAAAACAAGTGTTAATAAAACAACAACAACAACAAAAAAGAAATAGCACCTGTATTTTATCAGCCCACAATGAAATAAAACTAAAATCAACAGCAAAAGAAACTACAGAAAATGTTCAAACACATAAATTGGACAGCACATTG